TCAGTTACTGCCTATGAAGAGGACCCGGAAAAGTTTTAGGAGAGCTATCCCTAGAGCCGAAGTAGAATCACCTTCGACCACCAGTCAATGACATTCATTCAGAAGACAAAATCTTCTCTAACCTTTGGACGACTACGACGGTTTTGTTCCCAAAGAATTTTCACTATCATGTCTTTATTTCGCACTGATACCTTTATAGTTATTATTATCATTATCATTACTACTATTATTTCCATGATGCTGAGATATTTGCAAAACTCCGGAGCACAGGTGTCTGCGGTAGAGAGCGAACGCGTTATTATTCTTTCCTGGGAGTAACGCATTCACCACCACACCATGCGGGTCCTTCGTTTCGCCTCTCTCTCAGCTACTTCTATCGATCACTGCCATCAGCAATCACCCGTCAACGAGATTGACCCGGGGAGTCCAAATCGGCATTGAGTCCAGTTAAGCTGAGGCTATAGTTATAACTTCAATGATGCTGAGATATTCGCAAAACTCCGGACCGCAGGTGTATGCGGTGTGAAACGAACACGCGCTGTTGTCCTTGCCGGGGAGCAACCCACTTCACCATCTTCTATTATTATTATAGAAAGTCGGACTTAGGAGTTACTATTATTATTGTTATTATTACTACTGTTGCTATGGGCGAGTGCGGCGCAGTGGTCGGAGGTGTCCTGCAACACACGTGGAATCGATCCCCACGCCCATGGCCCACCAAGTCTTTCATCCCTCCGGGTCGACAAATTGCTACCGACTTGCCTGGGTGAATGGCAGCACTGGCTCAATACATCGGTAGGCCACTGCGAGTCATTGTAAAAGTTAGATATGCATTCAATGACCTCCGAACGATGCTTAGTGAAGTTGAATTCATGACCCATCCTTCAGGGATTGATCAACGCTGAGAGCTTTATCCCTTTATTTTTTATTATTATTATTATTATTGCTGTTGTTAATACGATCAGTACTATCTACTACCCTTGTTATTATTATTATTTGCTTAACATCATTATTGTTGTTATTGTGCATGTGTACGCATCGATCACCTGGTCAGCATACCTAGGGCGTTCAGTGAACATGGAGCACGACACGAAGGAGGAATCACACAGAAAAACTGCAGCTTGGGCAGTATTCGGGCGTCTTAAAGAAGCCATCGATCATCTAATGGACCCGAGAATCTGCGCTCACCTTTTCGATTCAGCTGTCCTCCTAGCGCTCTGTTATTGCATCGGAGGCGTAGGTTGGTACTTCCACCACATTCAAGAATATTACATATTACTCATAGAGCTCTAGAACGATATCTTCTGAAATGTAACCAACACACACACACACACACACCATCTAGCTGGAACTCATCGTTCTAACCTTTGAAATCTACCCCATCTTCGAAATCTAGGAGAATACACATCAATAGCGAAACAGAGATGTGCCGATGATATAATGAGAACAACAGACGACAGATGGACGAAAGGAACTGTAGAGTGGACTGCACGATGGCACAGCTGTCTGCTACGACGACCACCTACACGGTGGGCGAACATGTTCGCAATAGAGCCAAGCAGATGTACTAGCAGCTGCCTAAATTTTACAGATCACGATATAAGACTCGTATCCGCCACGATGCTCAAATCAAACCACCACCATAAACGACAGCTGCGAGGCAAAATAAACGAATGGAAAATATGCTGGCGTCAGCAAATTCATGAAGATGGACGGTCAAAATGCCCAAGTAGGTTTTGGTATTATTAATGATTGATTGATGGATAACAGCACAGATAGAGTAAAAACATAGCTAGGAGAAAGGCAAAACGAAGGCGTTGGTTGGTGTGGTTGTGAGACCCCATAAGGGTAATCAACGCTTCAAAGCCCACCTGAAGTCCCGAGTTTTGTTCATATCTCAGCATCCCTATCGTTGTATTTCACTTCTTAACCCGCCATCAAAAACATAAGCAATAAATAAAAGTTAAAGTACTGACAAATACATCTATAGAAACCGACTTTTATTTAAGCTCTCCATAAATAATCAATACCCTCTTGGATTATTTAGCTGACACAAGGTTGGCATAAAATAGGAATAGGTATTTTATAACAACCTCGTGTTAACTATGATGCTGAGATATTTGCAAAACTCCGGGCCGCAGGTGTCTGCGGTGAGGAGCGAACGCGGTGTTACCTTCATGAGGGTTCTCAATAATCCAGGATACTGACAGACAGTTGTCACTTGTATTTGTGCTGAGGTATTGAAACAGTCTTGGCAGTATGTTCACAGTTCATCATTGTGAGCACTAACTGACATCGATGGGTATGAAGGAGGTTTGCACACTCCCGACTAAGCGTCTTCTAAGGTGACGGGAACATTCTTGAAGAACTGTTGATCTAAGAGGTGCTCTCGGACAAGAAGATTGAGATATAGCCATAACTATGACAGTAATTTTGTAACATATTCATCCAATTGTTGTGTTGTCACGTATTTCGAACATCCTTAACGTTCTTGGGAAGTTACAATATCGTGAACGACATAACTGTGAGCATACTCGTATAGAACCCTGGCGGAGGGCTTCGTATTGTTTATCATTGCATAGTTCTCCATTTTTCTTTCTCTTTACAGACATAAATAGCTGTTATAGAACAGGTGCTGTGCTCACGAGTGGAATGATAGCCGTAGTATCATGAAATAATTTATTAAAAGATACATTGTGGACGATATCATTCATATAATGTAAACCATATGCAAAAATATCATATGCAAAATAAATGAAAAAATTTCACCGCTTATGTTAATACAGGGGCCCACGTGGCACAGTGGTCGGAGGCGCCCTGCAGCAAACACATGGGATCGATCACCGCCCCTGTGGCCCACCAAGCCCTCCATCCCTGCGGGGTCGACAAATTGCTACCGACTTGCTTGGGTGAATGGCAGCACTGGCTCGATACATCGGTAGGCCACCGCGAGTCATTGTAAAGGCCAGATATGCATTCAATCTCTTCCAACAATGCTTAATGACGTCGAATGCACGGTGCATCCATCAGGCATTGATTAACGCCGAGAGTTTTATCCTTTCATTTTTATCCTTTTTGTTAATTCATTTTCAGCACAGCTCAATCACGTCCATAAATTTATCACATCTTCGTCGAAGCCAAGGTCTCCATCTCTCTGAACTCACATGTGTGAACGCGAACTTGTTAGCCGGGTAGTTAATTGCCTAACGCCTGTATAGTTCTCTTCAAATTCCCCTCTCATTTTGTACGATAACTATGATCGATCGAATCGAGTGCAAGAGTAATCAATGGTTTCGCAAGCCGGAGAGTTTAGCTGTCGGCATATCATGCAGTATTCTCCAGATCCGACAAGTTGGTGTGATCTTCTTGAACAGATACGAGACCACTAACAAAATTTACTCAGTGATGTCTGACGTTTCGGTGGGTTCGCCTTCTTAAGAGCATAGTGAAGTCACATTCACTCGCAATCTACTCCGTCAAACACTTTCATAATCTCAACAGAAAACGCCGAATACCCTATTTCTTTCGCATAGTAAACAGATTCTTTTAAACCCTCATCGTTTTTCCCATTGATAAATTAACACGAGGTACGTAAACAATTTTATTCGACTCATGTTTCGGCGCCTTCACCTTTTTCAAAGTAGGATTGATTAGGGTCGACTGCCCATAGCCGTTCGTCCTCGTGTTATACCTATTACCTAATTGTTCTTCTCACCATGTCGCTATTGTTCTTTTCATTTATACATAGGTTTAACCCCCCACCCTTTGTGGTCCAAGCTCAGCATCCGCAAAATCCAACGCAGCAGCATCCAAGACAAGCGTACATATTCTGTACCTATTTTAGTTTCCACTAGGTATAGCTAATACGGTTGAAGGGTAAAACTTATGGAGTTGATCAATCCCTGAAATGGGTCATCCATTTATCTTCATCAAGCATCTTAAAGGTGGTTGAATATATATCTGGCCTATAGAATGATCTACGGTGGCCTATTGATGTGTCAAGTCAGTGTTGTTCCTTTCCGAACAGATCCGGGATCGATTTGCCGAGTTTGTAAGTATTGAAAGTGCGATTAGCCTGGGTGTGAAATTGAGCCAGCGATCGACCTGGTTGGCATTGTAGGGCACCTCTAACTAATGCGCTAGACCCTGTGTAGTTGACTGATTCTGAAATATGAATCTCGATCTATGGACACAGACGAAATAAAAAAGATGCACATGTACGTATTCGTCATTCGTTAAATCGATGTTCTAGTGCAGGTTTTCTAGTAGGACTACAAATTGCACTGGAGAAAAAACTAAGTCGAAGACTCCGTTCACGATTTGTGATGGACCAATAAATTGAGCGCAGGATGAAAGAATGTGGGCGGCCAGAATTAGTTATGAATTGTTAGGATGTACAGGATTTCGTGGAGTAGATATATGAACTCGCAAACACTTCGCCACTGGATTGAAAATAGCTCGTGGTTCACTGTATCCGTATGGGGTCAATAATTCAATACCGCACGATTCTCAAAGGGATGCAACCACAAGCTTTCTATTCTAAGGTCTTCGGGTACCCACTTAAACCAACTATTACAAAATCACTCCCTTGACGAATTTACAAGTGGAAAAGTTGTTGGCTTGCATCTCGATAGGATTTGCGAACGATGTGAACATTTACTCATCACGTACATTAACACAGCGTGCTTTATCATGGATGCTTTCATATACAGTTGAAGGAAATCATAGATGATGGGGATGCAAAAAAAACCGTAACAACTGAAACGACGTCAAAGGGGTTGGTTTCGAATACAAATGAATTTCAGGACACACCTAGTATCCAAAAAAAACACATAAACAATAACTACTAAGAACTAATTTCAAAACAATGGGCACTATTGCAGCCTAGCCGCAGCTAACAGCAAGTTCGATTTTATGGCTGAAAAGCATCAAATCATTTCATCAACCGCTTAAACTGCTGGAATTTTGACGCGGTATCTTGAGCATTATCTAATTCTCACTCAAATTGGGCACCCTTGACGCGAAGTGGGATCTGGTAAGAGCCCTTCCTCTTTCAATTTTCTCAACGCTGGTGTCCAGTGACTTTCGGGCAAATTTCGCAATTCGATCAGGTGTTTTTTATACTTCGGGTTGTTGTCCCTGGAAAAGGATCGCCACTTCCATATTATAACTGCACAGTGTTATCAACGCGAACCTACGCCAAATACGTTCCATTTTTGTACATTGCCAAACCGCCTGGTCCCAGTATGAGCATCTACCAAACATTTTGCCTTAAAAAGAATGAGGCATTATTGAGAATTCCTGTAGTAGGCAACAATGACGTAATGAAATCACCTATAGTGTTTTCATCGTAGCACCTTTTCAGAAACTCAATGAGTACATTACACTCCTGAGTGTGAAGATGGGGCGAGAGATCCGGTAACATCCCTGAAAAACACTTCCCAGTAGTGTAGTACTGACATACACTTCGCAGTAACATAATGCAGATCTGGTAGAGCCATATTCTATTTGATTAAAGCATCAATACGTCATAAAAGTATATTACGTAAAGGAAATCCTTCGAAAACAAGACCTTTGCAGTCGTGCAAAGTTCCGGAAATAAATCTACGCGTGCTAAAGTACTCTGATAAAAGAAATAAACGAAATCGAAGTTCGTATTTCCATAAGGCAAGAGATCTATGTAGAATTTAGTTGGATGGCACGTCTTCACTAGTTGTGCGGGCCCCATTAGAATTTCCATTTTTTCAGAGCATTGCTGGCTTAGCCATTGTGGTCTTCCGAGGTCAGCTTATCCGAAGTCTGCCCAAGTCGTCACCACTACAGGCAGTCGCCGCCTTTGTGGATCAGAGTGAGATTTGCCGCCACGCTAATAGTTTGATACCAGGACGGTGATGGATCCTGGGTACTGGTTTACTCTTAGTTGGGTTACTCTGCGCATTACAACCCGACATCCAGGAACACCTTAAGGCCACGCTAAGGTGATAAACCGTTGGGAAGCTACATGGAACTGAACCACATAAAAGCATCATGATTCAACAATTCAGAAGTTACCCTAAAATGTATAAAGACATAACGGTGGAAATCACTCCGGGATTTGACAATCAGAAAATAGACGAGCTATCGAGAAGACTTTTGATCACATAGAAAATCTGCGCTATCTACTTAAGCAAATTAGAGTTTTACGCTCACCAACAATAAATAGAATGTTTACATCTCACATGTGTGATGCGAGCATTCATTGAACGGATTCTTCATGTGTCGTTCAATTGCCCAAATTTGAGATTTACGCTGTAAAGACAACAACCACAAGACCCGCGTGGCAAAGTACTTAAACGAGCACAACGAAGCATTATATTGGACTGCGCATAAATAGGAGACGACCCAGTTCATGAAGAACCTATGGTGCGAAAGCGAACAAATTGAACTTCCTTTCTGATAGCAGAGACCACCCCGTGCGTATGCCTTGTGCGATCAATGGTTATAGAGAACAACATGAAGGAGGAATTGAAGAGAATAAGAAGAGCAGCTTGGGCCGCATTCGTGCCTCTCAAAGAGGCCACTAACCAACTAAGACCCGAAACTCCGCGCTCACCTTTCTGATTCAACAATTTTCCTAGAGCTGTGTTACGCCACAGAAACATGGGCAAACAGTTCAAGCATGTCAAGAACTGTGGACCACACACAGAGCGCTTGGATTTATATCTCCTGAACTTTAACCAATACTCATAATGTCCAATCGTAATACGCAGCTCACATTTTCGAGACCTATTTTATTACAAGATCTAGGAGAATATAATACCAATAGTAAAGCATGGATAAGCCGGTAACATAATGGAAAGAAAATATAACAGATGGAGGAGAAGAACAATGGAGTGGATTCTAAGGAAATGGAAGTCTCCTCTTGCAAGACCACCCAAAAATGAGCAGACCTATTCGTGGCTGACGTCTTCCAACTGCATTCTCAGATGAGAACGATTTCAAGACCATGGAATGGCATCGCGAACGTCCTCATGTTCGAAGCAGATCACCATCATGAACGACGATAGCGCGAAGAAGAAAATCATTACCAGTGAAGACGGGTCATCCAAGTACCCAAGTAGGTAAGTATGCCCTGGATCAGTCTTCATCAGCAAAAAATATAAATATTGTTTCTTGTTATCAGGCATAAGCAGAGTTTTAGCCCAAGCAGTAAGTTTTGTATACATAGTTTCAATAGTACCCACAAAAAATACGGAACTTAAATACTCTAAATGAGAAGGTTTAAATTGCACGTGAAAAGTGCACATTGTATGAGTGCCATATTGTGATTGATATGACCCGCGACTTGTAAAATTGCTATGAAAAGTGTTATTTGTAAACGACGTTTACACCAGCGAAAGTTTGTGATAGTAAGAGTCGAGAATTCGTTAATTTTTCAAATAATGCTGTGTAAGAACACAGTGACTGACTTTCTTCGTATTTTTGTTGAGCAAACGCAAGGTGTTACTATTCTTTGTTCACGATTAAGCTGACGTTTCGGCGGATTTCGCCTTCTTCAGAGCCTGGAAAGGTCAAGTTGATAGCAACTCACTCGGCCAGACGCCTCCATAACCAAACAAAGAAACCCCAAACCAAGATTTCAATCACTTTGAACACAGCTTTGCACACTCACCGCTTTCTATGAGGTTTCCCCTAAGTATGTCACGTAGAGACCAACCGCACAGAAATCACGTGGAAGTATAATGTGCCCATCACATCAGAAAAGCAGTTTTATATACTGCCCTATCTCACGCGTGATATCTCATCTCGTGATATCTCCGTATCTCATGGTTTTTAACCCTAATATTTAACCAGTTGTTGAAACACATTCCAGCCCATCTTACGAATACCCAGATGTTTCTGGATCGTCTACGTACTGAGCAGCCTAACAGCGCGTGCGTGATGGAGTCCTTCGACGTTACCGCCCTTTATACAAACGAATATATAAAAAACAAACTAACAAACTATACAAACTGAATGTGCGTTTAACAATTCGAAGCATTTGTCCAATTCCTCTTGTGTTGAGCAAAGGACAAAGCAGTCGTCTACATACCTACAGTAGAGTAGTGGCCCGAGATCAGTCACCGGTGCTTCCACCTTAGACATAAATGCAATGGCAAGGCTTGGAGCCAATCGTTGCCCCATTGTCAACCCTCTTATTTGAGCGTATTACTTTCCAGACCATCTGAAGATTGAGCAGCCCAAGCATTCTTTTAAGAGTGCCATCAACTGCTCTACCTTGAAGCCATACATGTTTATTTCTCCTTCGTGTTGTGTAAGGAGTTCGAATATGGCTTGCATTGCGGAGTTATTCGACACGTTTGTATAAAGGGCGGTAACGTCGAAGGACTCCATCACGCACGAGCTGTTGGGCTGCGTAGTACGTAGACGATCCAGAAACATCTGGGTATTCGTAAGATGGATAAGATTGTTAAACGCACAGTCAGAGCATATCAAGTTCACCCGAGAAAAGCCGAAAGAAAAATGGCTTCCATTTTTGAACGTACAAATTCACCTATCAGAAAATGGCTACATTACAAAGTGGTACCGAAAGCCAAGTAGTAAAAATATCTTGGTTCATTACCTCTCCTCTCACCCCTCTCACACGAAAAGGGCGCTTATAAGAAACATGTTTCGAACAGCAACCAACGTGTGCACGGGAAGAGAGCAGAGAGAGGAGTCCCGGAACTTGGCACGGCAAATAGCCGTTTCTAATGGCTACGAAACTGTAGCTCAGAATAGGTGTAGAGGAAATCGTAGGCCTCCAAACGACAACTCTAGCGATAGAAGGGTCTCGTTTATCCTACCCTTCATCTCAAATGATATAAGTACAGCTATAAAACGCTGCTTAAGAAGGGCGGGCTTAGAGAATTCGGTGAGTGTAGTTGAAATACCACCGAGTAATCTTAAGCGCCAGCTAGTTCGTAACCGCCTATATGACCGTCTATGTGCAACTCAAAATTGCATAATTTGCCCCAGTGGTAGAGACGGTGATTGCATGAGCTCGGGTATAGTTTATCTGATCTCCTGTAAGACGTGTGGTGACGAATACATTGGTGAAACGGGTAGACCCCTCTGTGTCCGCATGAAAGAACACCTAGCCGGCAAAAATAGACTAAATACCCCGCTAGGCACGCATAGGACCCAGAGACATAACGGGGACGACTTCGAAGTATGTGTCACGATCCTCGCACGCGAATCGAGAACACAGGCGCGAAAAACTCTCGAGGCACTCTGGATTAATTCCAGAAATCCGAAAATGAACCGCAGGGAAGAATGCCTCATTATCACGCGTGAGATAGGGCAGTATATAAAACTGCTTTTCTGATGTGAGGGGCACATTATACTTCCACGTGATTTCTGTGCGGTTGGTCTCTACGTGACATACTTAGGGGAAACCTCATAGAAAGCGGTGAGTGTGCAAAGCTGTGTTCAAAGTGATTGAAATCTTGGTTTGGGGTTTCTTTGTTTGGTTATGGAGGCGTCTGGCCGAGTGAGTTGCTATCAACTTGACCTTTCCAGGCTCTGAAGAAGGCGAAATCCGCCGAAACGTCAGCTTAATCGTGAACAAAGAATAGTAACACCTTGCGTTTGCTCAACAAAAATACGAAGAAAGTCACTTGATCAATGCCGAGGTTAATAGAAAGTCGGTCGTGGCAGTTACAGTGACTGACTGACTGACTGACTGAATGAATGAATGAATGAATGAATGAACGAATGAATGCGCATAGTTATTTTACATACTCAAGCACATCAACTCACTTCTTCTAGATGATATACAACCAGGTCGTGGCCGCATGTCCCTAGGTGTCGAATTTTCATGTTATTTTCAAAAATATCAGAGAGCTTTGTACCCTCCTCACCAGCGTCTGTTTCACTACAGAACTCAACCATGACAGCGTATTCATCCCAAAAAAAGTCTTTTTTAAAACTGTGACGTGTAGAGCACAGTTTTCAACGGATCACACTTGATAGAATATCTATGCTCAACAAGCTATCGACTGCATGTGCAAAGTAGAGAATAAAGGCTCCGTGCGACAAAATAATATGAGAAGTCGAGAAAACAGATGCACCGAACTTGTCTTACGTTGCCGTTGTGTTGAACCGTTCAAAAATTGCCTCTTCTTGCCTGAACGCTGGTTTCTGCCTTCGTTTCGTCTTCCTCTCAGCCGTATTACTGACCTATAGGTGCTATCAGCAATCACCCGTCAACGGCATTTAGAGAGCACAAATCGCTATTGAGCCCAGTTAAGCTTAAGCTATGGCATATATCACAGTGTAATCATTTTTTTAAAATTTACTTATCTGTTTTTTTCTAATTTATGGACACGTAAAGAAGTGGTTAGATTAAGATCTATCGAACCTGTTGACAGGTGGTTGCTGATAACACCTATAGGTCAGTAATAT